CCAAACTTGGCCACTTTAAGATGAGTGGATTTCAACCCCAGGAATCCCCCAGCCCCCATGGGTGGCGGGGGAATTCTGGGAGTTGAAATCCACTCATCTTAAAGTGGCCAAGTTTGGACAACACTGCTCTAGTATAAAGACAATTTATGAGTTCATATATGTGTTTTTGTACTGCAGAAATGTGTGATGTCAATGTTGTCATCCATCACTGGAAATGTTCAAATAGTGAATTGATGTTCTTATTAAAAAAATCAGGAATGACCTTATTAAATACTGTATAGAGAGGTGAAAACCTATATAACTAGAAAAAAAGTAGCACTTTAAACAGGTTAAAAGCTATGTATAATTTATTTTGAGTTGTCAACATCTAGTATTTCATACATAACATTTTGCAAACCTTTTTTGAATATTTTTATTTCATTCATATCCTATTTTTCTGCCTGTAGTAGATTGCTCATAAAACAGAGTAATATTTCTTATGCTCAGGAAGTAGAACATTAGCTTATTAAGGCTATAATCCTAAATAAAATTTGCAGCGAGTAAGCCCCATTGAGCATGGTGGCAGTGTGGAACTGCTGTCTTTATAACTTTCTATGATCCATCTGGTAATATCTTCCTGCATTTACCATCATTTTCTTCCATCTTTTCTCAAACTGCAAATAATCTACCTTATTTTGTGATAAAGACTGGATGCTGAAATCGTGGATAATTTTGAATGCTGTTTTTTTAAATTGTCCAAGACATTTATTTGTCTGTCTGTTACATTCATGCCTTGCTGCAATCAAACTACTCTTGGCAGAGAGAATAGTTTAAAACATCCAAACTTCTATGGTAGAAACAAAATGTAACAATAAAATAACTTTTTAAAAAAACCCTCAGAAAATTAAAATAGAGATGCAGAAAATCTCTGTTTTCAGGCTCTTTCTGAATGTAATCAGGGAGGGACCAGCCTGATTTCCACAGGGAGGCTGTTCTACAGAAGTGGTGCTTCTACTGAGAATCAATGTTTCCTGACCACAGCTCCCTTTACCTTCTGGAAGTGAAGCACTAGGAGCAGTTTCTCCCTAGATGATCTAATAGGTAAGGCTGCCTCTGGTTGGAACAAGAAGTCCTGTAGGCACCCGAATGCCAACCCAGTACTTTAAATTATACC